TAGCCTGGTCGCTTGGTTACATGCTGAGTCTCACCAACATGATTCCAGCAGAGATCCAGCTGATCCACTTACCCATGAACCCCTCTGTGTTTGCTGGACTCCTCCTTTTCTTCACAGCACTGACAGTGCTGTGCCTCATCTTTGTTGTTTACTTGTGTGTTGTGTCACATATGCAAAAGAACATCGGTCATGTTGATCAAGTACTTGCCACAGAATGAACAGACTTAATGAGAGCTGAAGGCAAAAACTTCCTCTTCGAAGAACTTTATTTTAGAAAATCATAGGAGAAATAAAAACAAACAAAAAAAACCAAAAAAACAGATACACAAACAAAAGTGGAATTAAGAACAAAAGTCAAGAAAACGCTATGACAAAATATTGGATTTGTCTTGAGAGATCTAAACAGTTGTTTCTGTATACAGTGCAACAATTAAGTCATCAGCAGATTCTCTGCTTTGTTTGTTAAGCATTTGGGGTTAAACAAGCCTGATCACAGGAAACGTTTGTGCAAAATTAATAGACTTATCTGTTTAACAGTGCTAATCATTCCAAGGTACAAGCAAGAAGACAAAAGAAGATAGCAACAATACCTGTGTAGTGCCAGAACTGAGAGAGAAGCTCGTTCCTTAAACTGGTAAGGACCTTGGATGCTGATTACAAGGTGAAACTGCAAGGAGCATTGTACGAAAAAAAAATGTTTTCATTACCATTTAGAACACAACAGAAGATGTAGCCCACAAGGTAAAGCTGAATTACTAAACTCCCTTTATTAATATTTATGAATTTTAAAAAACCCAACCCCAATACTGGGTATTCCAGTGGAAATGTCAAAGTTAAGGTAGACTGAGATTTTCCCTTACAGCAGATTGAATCCCTCTCACATTTTTAATATCTAACCTGATTCTCCAAAGCATACTACAATAAATCTTCAGAGGGCAGTTTAATTTTCTGTCATTTTTAACTAACTTTTAGAGAGGAAACATTTTTAAAATGTTCTTTTGTTGAAATGTTGACTTTTTTTCCATCACTTGTTTGGGTCCAAAACAACCATAGCCTGCCCCAACTTCACATTTAGCTTTCATTTAAATCATTTGAATACTATCATGAACAAAAGACCCTTCTGGAGTGGAGCTAGCTGTCCAAGGCAACAGTGTCATAGGCAGCCCCTCAAGTTATGGTGCCTCAACACAGACATTTTGCTCTTCTTCCATTGGTGCTCAGCAGTGGTGCACCAGGCAAGTAGTTAAATGCTTCTGTGTGAAGACTAGCTTAAAGGCTTCATCCATACTGTTACCATGGTGCACTAAGGAGCTTGCCTCCACAAAGTTTAGGCCTCCTAGACAACGCTGATTTTCCATCTACCCAAGTCTCCAGCCAAAACCTTCTTTCTCCACACCCCAGAGCATCCGACATACGTTGCTTTAACCCTGCTCCTTCCAGCACTTGAACCCTGCTCCTCTGCCCTGTGCTGTAGGAGCCCTTCAAGCCCAGTGCCTCAACACAAAAACACTTGGCTTCTTCCACCCCTACGTAACTCCTGCCTTTCAAGCCAAGCATCCAAATGAAACACTGGTAAAGCTTTTCTCCCCCATCTTTAGTCACTCCCAATTCCCTCCACTTTCACATTAAATTTCCCTTATTTTCTTTTGGCACAATGTACACCAGCATCATGCGCAGCCCTGGGGGAAGGGATACAGGAAAAAGGTATGGAGAGCAGAAGGAAGGGGTGTGTCCATTGGCATAGGGAAGGTGCTCCTCTCATCTTCATTTTTCATCCCCCCTGTCATACCCGTCCAAATTTTTGTATACTCCCCAAAGCTCTGTTTACCCACCGTGCTGCCAAACACCTCCCCATCACCTACCCAAGACTCACAATGGCTCCATGCCCTCCTTGTACCCCACTTCTCCTTGGGATACTACTTGGAACACATCCTCAATACAACATACTCACCATGCACTATTAATGTATGGCATTATCCACACCATGCACTATTAACGTAACTACCCTGTCATTGGAGCCAATCTCTTTTGTGTTTTCTATAACAGAACCTGTACATGAGGGATGCATTTTTTAATATGTACATATACAAGAAAAATACAAACTATATCAGGACAATGAATTTCGTACCCTGTGTAGAAATATTTTAATTCCTTCTCTACCCCCATCTGTTTACATCTTTCATGGATATTTAAGATGGGAAGAGGTCAGTAGGTAACATTATCACTCTTAAAGTTTTCAATTTTTTTCTCTTATCTCTAATTTCTTTTTTTGTTTATGCACTTTAATTAAAGGCCCATTAGATGAGTTTAAAAATGAGCTGAACTGCCTTTTATTTGACATAGAATGATCAAAGATCACATGGTTTTTCCCACATTTTCTCCTTTTTCCAACACCAAAGCAGGAAGCTACTATCCTTAAGGCAGTCTTAATTAGCTCCCCAGCAGTGCCACCCAAATGTTACACCACTATTTCTGACTTGGGAGGTGACATGTATGGAGAAACCTGGTGTGCTTGAACATGCTACTGCCTGGCGCAGTAGATTTATGATGCAGATGTGCTTTCAGTGGAGCGGCAGCACTGACAACTCAGCCACTTGCTAACATGACAATTTTGTCCGGATGTCCTCAGTCTTTAATGGATTCCAGAACTTCTACAAACTTTAATACGGTGGAACCCAGGTCATTCACATCTATATAGTTCACCAGCTACTTAATTTGCAGTGGATTGAAGAATTAAGAATGGGTTGCTCAGCAGTTTGCTGTAACTTTTACTTCAAAGGACATTGCTTCTCTGACCAGCGGGAGCTCATTTGCAGTGGGGTGCAGGGAAAGCTGCAGGAAACAGCTGGAGTGCCTCCATGGTCCTGCACAGTTGTTTGCTGCAGCTCTGTATACTTTCAGATACTTCAAATATCCTCATCCTTGCAGGTGGGTTAGGAAGCTAACCCTGCAAAGCCTCTGGCTTCTGCTGTAGTGGTCTGTAAATACCCCTAGATTCTTGTCACCTTTGTTAATGAAGAAAAACCCCATCAATCTGGAGTTCTCCGTGAAAGTGTGGGAAGAGGATTTATCACCACAACCTTGGAAAGAATCCCAATGACAGAGCGTATTACATAATGTTAAAAGTGCCTCTGTGGATCTTGGACTATGCTTGAAGCAGCCAAAGATTTTATTTAAATGGTAATGGCTGCCATGGAAGTTGCACAAGATAGAAGCCTCATTCTCTGCTGTTTGTTGACACCATAACAAAGCAAACGGGAGCCTATTCATAGACTATGAGACTTCCCCACAGTTAGGCAACTGTAAAAAGAGGTGGATGGGCGAATTAAGATGGGCTTGTCTTCAACTGCCAAACTTCTGCTGAAAAAATTATATCTTAGCATGCGTACCTCATAAACCTGAGCTTGACTTCACAACAGACTTTA